ACGGAGCGGCCCGTGGGCCACGTACTCGTACACCAATATCATCTCCGATTGCTCGTCACAGTACCCGATGAGGGAGACGAGGTGGCGGTGCCGGAGCTTCGAGAGGAGTTGGATTTCGGTTTGGAACTCGTTGACCCCTTGAGACGAAGATGGGTTGCCCCGTTTGACGGCGAGGCGGGTCCCGTCTTCCAGCTCGCCGAGGTACACCTTCCCAAAGCCTCCTACTCCAACGACTGATTTCTCGTCGAAATTTTTTGTGGCGCGGCGAATTTCGTTTAAGGTGAAGTGCCTTCCGAGGCTGAGGCTACTCGGGTCGATGATGCTCGAGATAGTCGTGCTCTTGCTCTTATTATTGCTGGACAAGAAGCTGCTGCATTGGGTTGCTGTTAGCGGGAGGAGCCAGGACGAGAACTTCGACTTTTGCTTCTCGTACCCTTTATTATTATTACGCCTAGTTCGCCTTCTGGCGAAACAGATGCAGATCAAAATCAACGCTGTCGATCCTAATGCAAGCCCGATAACGGCCAAGGCAACTCTCAACATACTATAGTTTTTTCCGAATTTCGAGGAGGAGGAGAAAAGCCCGTCGAGGCTTTTGGCCGAGTTGCTTAGCTTCATCACCTCGAACCCGTTGAGTATAGCGTCAGGTTGCACGGCCATGACGTTTGAGGTGGGGCCCACTTGCACGGTGACCGTCCCGTCCGAAATAACCGAGGCGTTGAGCACGAAGTCCATGTAGTAAGGGACAGCGAGGCCCGACGTGAGGGTCGACAAGTCGAGGGTCAAGGCTCCGGAAAGCCCGTTTAGGTACACGTTGAAGTAGAGCTCGTTGAGTCCCGTGCTCACAATGTCGCAAAAGTGGAGCCTTATTAAGTAGTCGAAGCCCGGGTCGACCCTCATCGACCACGTGAGGTTGAAGTTTGGGTCGGCCGTGCCTGAATCCGCCATCACGGCCGCCGTCGAGTAGACCAAAGGTGGGGCCACGAGGGCCGTGGCCCCAACTTTTGAGTACCGTATCATGTCTGTAGGGACAATTACGTCTTTTTCCCCTTGAGGTAAAACTGCGTATCTGTTCTCTTCGTCCGGAAGCCATGTCCTCCAAAGGGTGTCGTTTTTAGGGGTCACGAGCGGACCCCCGACGTTCACCCTGTGGAGGACCTCGATCGCGAGCCCGTCGAGGCCCGTGAACTCACCACGTGGCGAGCTCACGGACGAGGCCGAGTTTTGGATGAGGTCGTCGGGAGCAGAGACGAGCTCGATGGCATTGACGAACGCGGCCGATTTTCTCGAGGGCGAGAATTTGAGCGTGAGTTTTTCCGAGGTGATGTTCACGAGATACTCCTTGACGATGATCCATGTTTTATTATTCGGTCGACGATCTTTGACCGAGAAGCCGTGAAGGAGTACGGTTTCGTCGGTTGAAACCGAGAACGTTGATGACGTCATGTTGACGGAAGGGTTTGGAAGTGGGTGGAAATGGAGTCGGAGAAAGTGGCGGCCGGGCTTATTGATGAAGAATCTGTACATCGAATCGCGTCGGAAGATTCTTGCGGATAGGTACAAACGGCCGGTTAAGGCGGTGTGTGGTAAGGAGTTTACGGAAACTAGGATATCCTCATCGGTCGATAGATAGGAAGCGGATTGTGGGTCGGATATGAATGTACGGCCGTCGTCGAGGGTGGTGGGCTCGAGTGACCCGCAGTTGATGAGATAGTTATCTGCGGGTCGAAAAGACGAGCCGCATAATGCTACATTGATGACTTGTGGTAAAATGAGGATGTATGAGAAAGCTAGTATTGGCCCGGGAAGTTTTCCGGCGGTTTTCATGGCGGTGAATGGAGACTCACGGTGGTGGTATGGCGGTGGTGGACATAAGGGAGGAAACAAAGTGTGGAAATTGGGTAGCTTTTTTTTTTTTTTTTTGACAAAGAGGTTTAGTTTAGTCTATAGTTTTTGTTAGGACAAAGAGCATTGTGGGTTTGTAGGTAAAAGACTTTGGAGGGATGAGAAAAATGGTTGTTGAAAGCATGTTGAGAACGTGCGATCTTGTAATGCAATGAGAATGTCTATTTCATTGTTTTTTTTCCTCTCTTTTTATTTATTTATTTATTATTATTAAGAACAATAATGAGGTTTTCGTTGTATCAGGAAAAATTAAAATAAAGACCCGCGAGTTTGGACTAATTGCACATTTCAATATATTTGTCTATTTAGAGAAGGTGTTGGATGTAATTACAAAATTATGGCGTTAGATTTGTCTATTTACCATATTCATAAAGGTAGATGGATTAATTGATTACTAAATATGACTTCAAGTTTCGATACTGCAGTCCAATTTACGGGGAAATATCAGAGTCTCGTTACGAACCATTCCTCGGGATTTGAAACTGTGAGATTATCATGTAACTGTCATAGATAGTTGATCTATTACAAATTCTGACAGAATGGTTCCGTAACGAGACTGTAGAATCTCCCCAATTTACGATCGAGCTCGGGATAAATATGGTAAATTTGATGCTACTCGTGGGTTTTGCATAAATTAGAGATCTTCAAGGTCTTGTTTGTAAATACTCTGACTTACAGGGTAGTTTGTGTAATTAATAATTATTCCTATTATTATGTGTAGACTTTCTGTTAAAAATATTAGTTGGCGGCAACGCCGGTTTAGAGTGAATCTGTGCAAAGAAGTTCAAACCGCGTATCCAGCTGGGAAAGGCTTAACTTAGTTTATATAATTCAGTTTATAATAACAATAAAAATAATAGGAAAATGCTACAGTACGTTACGAAACCATCCGTGGGGTTTGTAATCGTTATATCATCATGTAATCGTCAGAGATAGTTGATTTAACGGTTACAAACATCGACGGAATTTGAAGCATTCGGAGAATCTTAGGGACACTAACCTCCGTCTGGGGTCTATGCCTTTCCGGTACCTCGGTATCCCTCTCACGGCGGGAAGAGTCACGGTTGGACAATTTGATGTGCTCATTACTCGAATTTCGGAGTAAATGGGCTCCTTGTAATCCCCTTTCTTTCTGTGCCTATGGGGAACCAAATAAAGCATGAAAGTGAAGTGGTGGATATCATTCTTGACAGGTTGAATTCTGTAACGGGACCGTAGCATCTCCTATAATAACAATAATAATAATAATAATAATAATAATAATAATAATAATAATAATAATAATAATAATAAAGAGAGAAATTTTGTTAGTTTACAATAATTGACTTTTGAGTTGGATTAGGTTCCATTGCATTATGGACAAAATTAAATTGCATTCACCTGTTTGGTATGAAGGATTGACCTTTTGTGTCTGGATATATAATAGTATTCGAAGATAAAAGACCTCAATTAGTGCCGCAAATTCTGTACTATATTTTATGCTCAAAATGTTCAGCTTGGTGCCGTTGTGAAAATGATGATAATAGCACAACTTGAAAGCAAATTTGCTGGCTTGACATTAGGATTTGACTTTACATTTCGGTGGTAGTGTACCTGATTGATATGTATAGTGATGTTGAGCTTTGTTATGAGGTTGAAGGGTTAGGTACTTTTTTCGACAAATCGAGTCGAGTTTTCGGTTGCATTTTGCAACGTATCGAATCTAAGAACTAGTTCTGCTTTCTTTATGTTTTCAATAGAATATGAATCTGGGTCGAGTGTTTACATTATGGCTTGAATGTTTTTAACCTTTTGTCTTTGAATTTGCTGCTCGTTTGTCACCCATCTCAAAATATTCAGAATCCGAGAATGAATGTGTTTTCGAAGTAACAATGCAACCGGCAAACAATTGAAGATAAGTGCGAAAACGAGCCACATTTTTATCGTTTGAGTTAAACATGTAATGTAGTAAGTGTTAGAAAATTCTTAAGTGCATGGAACAAGAGCTCGAAAACAGCAAATGCAGCTTCATCAATCTTTCACCTGATTAACCATATTACTATTTACCATCATTCTTTCTTAGCTTTCGTTCTTCTTAAGGACACAACGTAGTAAGTAAACCGAAAGATCTGCAACGATGGGTTTTCCAGTCGATCAAACGTGATATATCGACCCTCTTTTTCCTAAAGCTCTGCACCATTTTAGAAGTAAATACTAAATACAAATAATAATTCTATTACATAGGGAGCCAAATAACCAATATTATTACCAAAAAACAAAAACAAGAAAAAAAAAATGAATTAAATGAAGCCTAATATAGGCTAGTACAACCAAAAAATACCCCCAAAAACAATCTAGAAAGCTCAATTTAACTTATAAGCTGAAAGTAGATTCAACACTAAGATTTTTTTGCACTCCAAATGCAAATCAAAACCTAATACAACAACAAGAACAGCAAAATCTTGTATTTTACCTATACGTGACGTGTGATAACTCTCTCATGCACCGAACTACGAATAGCAAACTGATCAACGTTCACCAAAGGAGCCACAGTCTCATTCCTTACTCTCTTGATATTCGGGCTCACCAAACCTTTATGCCTAAACCCATACAAATTCAAAACCTGATTATCAGCAAAGTTGAAAGCTTTCTCCATACTTTTCAAACACCTCTCGGCCGGGTAATCCCCTTCACTTCCACACGGCTTGCAGCCCAAGAAATGTGTCACGAGTGGCCACCTCTCGTCACCTAAGCCCGGATGGTACTTTTCGAGCATCTCTTCATAACGGTCCACAAGATTTTCCCAAAACCCGTGCAGAAGATAGGAATTTTCGATAAATACTTTGCTTGCCCACTTTTCTTTCTGCGAAATCAAGAGGTATATCAAGGCTGACTGATCGTCTGCTTCGAAATCCGGCCGGCCCTTCAGATTGGCTGTTAGAATCTTGCCGGATTCTGCACGAGCAGGGCCTTTTGGCCCCATTGGAGCCCAAGCATCGAGCAAATCAAGAGACCATTGACAGTTTCTCAGCAGGAAGATTCCAGTGTTGAGAGAGATCCAAGATTTCTGCTTAAAAAGCAAATCTTGATTTCCATGGAGGATCATATTGTGATCCTTGTATTTCGAGAAGGGTATCTCGAAGGTGAAGTCTGTGAAAAGGGCATCGCTGTCTATCCACCAGACCCACTCGAATTCAGGATGGGATAACATTAGCCGCCTGATCAGAGGCAGTTTTGCCCAATATCCGGCCATTTCTTTATCCAGATTAGCCATGTTGTAAACGATTTCGATCCCGTGGATCCTGCAGTAATCAATCTTGTTTTTGAGGAATTTCAGTAGGTAATGGTCCCCTACGGCGTTTTCGCAAGGGTTTGGGGCTGAGCCAGTCACCAGCAAAATCCTGGGCGAGCCATTGATGTAGCTCGGGAAATTAGGATTCCGGCGGAGCCACAGCCTCCGGTCGCGATCCCAGGTGGTGATTTTGGGGCCCAAGGAGAACGGTGCCGTTTGGTTCGGTTCGGGAAGCTCATCCTCCGGTGGTTGTTGGTCGTCGTCGTCCGGGTCCTTTCCCGACCGGATCTCGGCGATAATCCGATTTGTTTCCTCGATGAGGTGCTGGTTCTCGGCCTGGGCTTCGTAGGAGGCGAGGTTGCTCAGCCCAATTGTGCCGCGGAGGACGAGGATGGTGACGAAGCCGCAGAGGATCGTGATCTTGATGTTGTTGCAGGATTTGTGGATCTGTCTTCCACGGGAGAGAGCCGAGGCGGGAGCGGAGGCGGGGCCGGCGCGCGGGGCGCCGCTGTTCGCGACGGCGACGGTCGTCGGAAGCGCGCTCGAGGTTCGCTTCTGAGCTGAAGAGGTTCCATCAGAACCCATGGGCGAAAATCCAAAAGAAAATTGGGTGTCTGAGTGCGAGTTACAGTATGAATTTTGCTCACGAATGTACATCCATTACATTACACGCAATGAAAATGAAATTTTGAATCGGAAGGAAGAAGACGATGCCGGTGTTCGCGTTGATCCATGTTCTCCCATTTTCTTGGGCCCTTCTATTGTTGTCATCTTTCTCATTGAGAGGAAAATAAGTATTTTCAATTTAGTCCTCGACTTTCTTGTCTATTTCATTCTTCCATTATTTAATATTTTCTGCCTTTCTTCTATGAGTTCTACCTTCGTCATTGTGAAATTTTAACATGTTTTAGTTTGGAATTGCCACTTTAGATGATATAATTAGTGTTGTGACAATACATGGTATGCAAAAGACCTGTATCGGGTTCCCCCGCCATGAATCTGTATTCTGTATCATGTTTGTAGACCTATAGACCTATAAAATGAGCCATGAAGGATTCTCGGTGTTAGTGCTCCAACGATCAAGTCAGTCACAAATTCAGTCACAAATGAAGAAAACGATGAACATGTAGTGTAAAATTCTGTAAGTATATAGTATGTAGATAATGTAATGTTGCAATGGACATACCTCAACTTTTTATATAGAGGTGTGTTACTTTATGTTACCCAATAATGCTCGAACTGTTCGTTTGTACTGCTCATTGTTCAATTCTGTTAGCGTAGGCCTATCCACATGTGGTTCTTGTCTTAATAATATTTCTTATTATCCATTAGTATGTCTTATTAGACGGTCTAATTCTGCGACTAACCAAATCACCTCGAGGTGGAGACGTGGAGTGCTGCTTGTGCCAAGCTCGTATGCTTTATTTATATTGTATATCGATCGATCAGTCATGCCTTCATATCGAGTTTCAATCATGCCATTCGATGGTTCTAGTTCAACCTGTTTGTGCTCCTTGGAGCCTCGACATCCTCATTGACCTAATGACTCTTCTATCTATAGCGCCTTTGTTCACCGTTAGAGTCGTTCGACCTCACGAATTACATGTTTAGTCATGTTGTTTCTCGAGTCACGTTGACCCGGTATAGTATCCCATATCAATACCAAAAGAGTAAAGCCTAAATATTTTGGGTTTGAGTTCGGTTACTTTCAAACGTTGTTTGCAGAATCTATGTTTGCAAAAAGTTCGAGTTCGCATAACTGAATAGCGTACTTAATAAAGTTGCTTGAGTAATTCGAGTTTGATTTGTTCGGAATCGTTTGAGACCAAAAGTATTAAAAGTTAAACATAAAATAAACTTATTTATATATTGGATTAATGTCCAATATTTGCAAAAAGATTCATGTCTGCTCGATTAACAAACGAATTTATGTTTTTGTTCCAACTCGAATTCAACAATGAATGAACGGGCTTTATCGAGTTTGAACGAGTTTTTGTTTGCACAAGCCAACGAGGACTAAGTACTCGCACATCTTTAAGTTCAATAACAGATAGTATTATCATTTTATTTTATCAATATTTAACTCACAATGTTTTCCAACTTCTAAGCCCAATATAAGACATAAAATGTCCATTTGACATAAAATGGCCATTTTCTTCATTTTATTAAATCGGGTCCAGCAATGGGCCGGTATGTATCGAATTTGTTTGACGGCACCTGCAGCCCAAATTGGACTCCATTTTTGTTCATTTATAGTTTGACCTAACGTTTCTAATAGCCGAGTGATTGTAAAATTAATGAAATAAACTTTATTTAATGATTTGACCCATAATATTTGTTAATTAATTTGGTTACTAAATAATTTATTTTATGATAGGGCTGCAAACGAATCGAGCGGCTCGCGAGCGCTCGAGTTAAAGCTCGACTCGAGCTCAAATTTGACCAAACTCGTCAAGCTCGAGCGGCTCGTGAACGAACTCGAGTCGAGCTCGAACTCATATTTTTTTTGTCGAACGGCTCGAGATACACGTTAAATTACTAAATACCCCTTATTATATATATTAGCATAGTTGCTTAATAGTAATTTTATCTTTCCACTTAAAATTTTTTTAACCGAACTCGAGTATTTTGATTTCGAGTCGAGCTCGAGCTATTGTAATTTTTTATTAAGTCGAGCTCGAGCTTAAAAAATCGAGCTCGACGAGCTCGAACAACTAAAAAAAAAATTAATCCTACTTAATTAACTCGACTTAACGTCCCTACTTATGCTTCATTAATAATTACGCGTGCTTAGACAGTTTGGGGAATGTCGGCATTATTTAATACTAATTCAATTTCGTCTGTTGTTAATAATCATAACGTTAGGCGATTAAGGCGCAATCACTAACCCTAAAAAGAATAAATTTTTAAAAAAAGGAATAAAAATAAAGAAAAAAAAACGCACACGCACTCGCACGCACACTGAACACGCACAGTCTGCAAGGAGAATTTCCTCAAAACCCAAGCGATCCCAAATTCGATTTTTCTCTCCGATTGAACCTTTTTAGCTTCGTCCCCAACTCAATTCTCCGATTTGCAGGTAGAAATGATGCTGTGTAGAATGGTTGGCCGGAAGAGGAAGACGGGGACGGTGCCGGTGTACCTCAACGTGTACGATCTCACGCCGATCAACGGCTACGCGTACTGGCTCGGCCTCGGCATCTACCATTCTGGAGTTCAAGGTCGAATATTTTTTGTCTGTGCTAAATACCTTTTTTCATATTTTCAGGACTGAGTGTGTGTGTGTGTGTGTGTGTGTGTGTCCTGCACTCGATTGTGTGTTATTTTGTTTTCAAAAGCTTGGATTTTTCTTAGCTCATGTGCTGAAATCTTTAGTGGGAGTTACTTGTTAGCTGTCGATTAGTAGATGTTTTGCATTCCTTAAAAGAACAGGTCATTGTGTGTGTGTGTGTGTGTGTGTGTGTGTGTGTGTGTGTGCGCGCGAGCTAAATGCCCTTTTTATATTTTCAGTGGACTCTGTGTGTTTGTGTGTGTGTTTTTTCCTGTACTCGTTTGTGTTATTTTGTTTACGAAAGCTTGGATTTTCATATCTTATAGGCTAAAAGCTCAATGGGTGTTACTTGTTAGCTGTAGATCAGTAGATCTCTAAAGAATTGGTCATTTTGAAACATTGTGTAGTTCAGTTCTTCAGCTGTCTGGGCAGATGGTTTGAGCTTCTCCCTAACAGGAAGGTGATTTTAGACTTTAGCATGATGCAGAGAATTAGTTTTGGTTACCCAGAAAAAGAAAAGAAAAGGCAGATACTGTGATTTTTTTCTAGGGGTATCTTGATTGATCTTTATTTCTTATGGCAGTTCATGGAGTTGAATATGCATTTGGTGCACACGATCGCTCGACAACAGGGATATTTGAGGTGGAGCCAAAGCATTGCCCGGGATTCACGTTTAGAAAGTCCATCTTGATCGGCAGATTGGATTTGGGTCTGAAGGAGATCAGGGCATTCATGGAGAAGCTAGCCGAAGAGTACTCTGGAAATTCGTATAATCTCATCACCAAGAACTGCAATCACTTCTGCAATGATGTGTGCCTACGATTGACTGGAAAATCGATACCGAGATGGGTCAACCGTCTTGCTCGACTTGGTATGCACATTTATTTCGAGTACTTGTTTACACTTTGCGCTTTTGGTGAATAATGCGTTATATGTACTAAGTTCGAGTAAATCATCTCTCGCTTTAGAAACTTTAGTGCATATTTAATAAGGATCAATCTTAGCTTTTTTGTGGTTTTCCCCATTCTTTTTGTTTATTTTGGTAGTATTTGATTCAATTTAGATACGATAGAAGTAAGAAAATTGGAGTTTTAAGTAAAAGGCTTGTTGCTTTTGAGGGGATAATGGACGAAATAAGGCAAAAATACATTTTTAGTCCTACTGGTTTAACGCAATAGCAATTTTATTCTCAAGGTTCTAGCTTTTCGCCTTTTAGTCCTGTGATTTACTATTTTGCTGCAATTTCAGTCCCAACAAATGAGGACTGAAATTGCAACAAAATTTTACATTACAGAATTAAAAATGCAATAAAATTGTAAATTACTGCTAATAAAAAATCTAACCCAAAGATATGAATTGGGAATCTGTTAGCAATTTGAGGACTGAAATTGCACCGAAATATGAAGTCACCTTTCTCTTTTGTGTATGTATGTGTTTGTATGTAAAATGCGGTAGATTTGTGGAGTTAAAAAAGGATCAACTCACGAAGATTTCAAGAGGATTTTTTCATAAATGAGAAGTAATTTTTTTGCTCTGCAACTTTTCCGAAGGTCTATTGTGCAATTGTGTTCTCCCGGCGGGTCTGAACGAGACAAAGGTGCGCCATGTCAGGGCTGAAGATAGGAATAGTGAGAAGAAAAAGCTAACAAGTCAATCGAGTAGGTTTGTTTCTACTTCCGATCGACATAAATTGAGTAACAACAGTTCGAAAAATTTTGGAGCAAGAAGCTGTAGACACAGAACTCGAAAGTCATCTTCATCGTCTTCTCTCTGTTTATCTCCACTGTCATAAGATTTTTTGCGCTGGGAAGGTATTTACGCTTTCCATGTGTAGTGCATTTTTCATTTGTCTTTATTGCAGCCCGGTAAATTTAAAGCAAAAATAATCTCATAGAGGAGGTTCGAAAGCGGATGTTTAAAAAAATGTTGCACACACACGATGAAAGGGAAATGGATATCGTGTTTTTCACATTTATATTCTATATCGTGCTTTATTTTATTTCATTGAATGAATAACACGTGTGGCATTACGAAAACACGACATTGGAACATGAGATATCATGCAGTTTGCAGTTAACTTTTCCACAGTTAAATGTATTTGAAGCTGGTGATTTAGCCAGTCAGCAATATTGCAATGTGATGTTAGTGATATCAGAGGGCTATTTGTCAAATCTTCAACTATTTACAAAATATCAAAATGAGAGACGACTATTTTCTGTAGTCTCTAGACTTTTGAATTTATTGCGTGATTGGCGGGCCAACACGAAAATGACAAGTGATAGTGATAATAACAAATTAGTCCAAGTCAATAAACAAAATAATAACCAATGATAATGAAGATGACAATTGACTATGAAACCATATTTGTCTGAGTAAAAAATATAGATCTAGTCCTATTGATTTAACGTCCTAGCAATTTTAATCTCAAGGCTTCAACTTTCGCCTCCTAGTCTTGTGATTAATATTTTGTTGCAATTCAAATGATTAAAATTGCAATGAAATTTTAAATTAGAAGACTGAAATTGCAATAAAATTTTAATTTACAGAACTTAAATTGTTAATCGAAAATTTGGGAATTTGGAATTTTTTTGCAATTTCAGTTCTCAAATGCCTGAAAGTGAGGTAAAATATTAAATCACATGACCAAAAGGCGAAACGTTGGAACTTTGAGACTAAAATTAATATGACGTTAAACCAACAAGACTAAAAATGCAATTTTGCCATTGTCTATGTCTGCCTAATTCGAGGAAGAGCATAGTAGCTCAATGGATAATGAAGTAGTTCTTGGATCATTTGGTTCCACATTGCCTTCCTCAAGCGGCTTTATTGGTTGCCGATGACAACCACAGGAATGTCGACCCGTACAAACTCCTGCCGATAGGTCAGGTGTGGAATTGTTTTCGGAGGGCAAATTGGTAATTTCTGTGGAGTAACCGTCTCGCCTATTGATCATCGTCAAGTTGAGTGAGTCCATGTAGCATTTTCGAAGCTTGGCCATGAAAGTTGCCGAGAGAAGTCGATTAGAGTGATTTTTTAAGGATTGTTTGGGTCGTACGTAAAATTTGTTTTGGCTGTGGGCCGGATATTAGCCTAGCTGCCTCGTCGTAGGCTCTCGCGGCGTCCTCAGCTGTCTCGAATATCCTGAGCCATAGTCTAGTCTTTCTGCAAAAATCGGTCAAAATGTATCCAAACTTTATGAAAGCGTAGTCGGAACTCGACCCCTTCATAGTCACCCCTTTTTCACGGGATGAGATTTCCCTATTCCAAATTCTTGTTTCATTTAATTTGATGAATGACGCGTGTTCATGATAACAACACAATTACACAAGTGTCTATCATCGAACAATAGAATGAAATGGAAATTAGAACATGATTTCGAAACAGAAAATCTTTGTCCCATTTTCACCATAGATCTACATATACTCACACATACTCGTACTGCGTGTGTTTAGTGATGAGAGAGAGAGAGAGAGAGAGAGAGAGAGAGAGAGAGAGAGAGAGAGAGAGATATGAACTTACAGTAAGGGGTGTCGGATTTCCGAAACCCATGAGCCCCAATGCCTTTGGCGAACGCCTTTGTAATGTTTTTGCAGCCGTGCCATCGTCAAATGGCCTTTAATGCCCGAGTATTTGGCGAAATTTTGGGCAATGAACAAGAGACAATAGGGAAGAGGATAGGGAGGAATGTAAAGATATATTTTATTTCACTTACAATTTCACTCTAAATTGACAAGAAAAAGGAGAATGTGAATTGACTGATCAAAAGGGACATGGATCCATCATTTAACCACATGCCAACATCAAAACTACATTATATTAACTAGTTTGCAGTTGAATTTCCCTTGATCTTCAGAGACCTTTTCAAGTAACAGTCCACGAGTTTTTTTTTCTATATATTCTTTCTTTTTCCGGGACCGTTCAAGGTTCTTGATTGCCAATCATGACATCCCAAACAAGAATCTTGACCAAAGATCAAATTACCCTACAGCTGTTTCATGATGACAGATGTTCATGGATATTATGCAGTAATGAGGAAATTAATGGCCTCCTTAAAGTTGAAGGACTTCACAAAATAAATTGTCATTTTCATTTTCACCGTCAAAGAAAGAAACTTGCAAAGAGCTTTCAATGTCAAAGAACTTTAATGTGAGGGAAGCGCCTCAACGTCATATATACAGTCAAATGTGAACGAAACAAGTCAAGTATCGATTATGCATTCCACAGCATTCGCCATGTTCTTCGCAGTTCTTACAATTTTCAGCGTAAAATTGGCAAAAATCTTTGGAAGGTCATAGACTCATAGATGCCAAAATTTCTCAGCTCTGTATGTAAGATTCTTGGATAAACTCTTATGAATATACATAGTTGCAGAAACTAAAACGAAGCCAACTTTTTTGCCTGTTCAAAAGTGAAGTTGTATTGGTCTTTTCATGGCAATTTGGGGGTGCTTGAAAAGGCCAATTAAATTAGACCTTCTTTTGCTAACTAGAATTTTTCTCATGGAAATGCAGTTTGGTAACACCAAGTCAATAGCCATATAACAATGAGTTAATCAAATATCAACTAGACAACATGACACAAATCCTAAAAACCTCAATGGAACAAAAACCATCTCTTTTCCTCATCACACTACATAAAAAAAATATGATCATTGAAAATACGTAACGTCACCTCGGAACCTAGCTTCCCTCGTGACATCATCAAGAACATCGTAAATCGAACCCGCATTCTCATTCGACCAATCCCCCGCAAAAAACTCGTACACTTCCCTTTCTACCTGAATCCAGCTCCTCCCGGGAGGCTTCTTCGCATTAGAATCGGCCATCTTCCTCCTCACAGCCGACACATCACCCCACTTATCGGACGCTGCACACACGTTCGACAGAAGCACCAAGTACCCTCCAGCCCGGTCCGGGTCAAGCCCGTTAGTCAACAAATCTCCCACTTCCAAAGCAAGGTCAACGCTCTTGTGTATCCTGCACCCTCCGAGAAGCGCACCCCAGACAACATCATTGGGCCTCATCGGCATACTCTTCACCATCTCGTGGGCCTCGTCCAAAAGCCCGGCCCGACTCAACAAATCGACCATACACCCAAAATGCTCGATCTTAGGCTCGAGCCCGTACTCGTCAGTCATGGCCCGAAAGTAGTATCGGCCCAAGTCCACATATCCTGCGTGGCTGCAAGCGCAGAGCAAACCCAAGAATGTGATCTCGTCGGGCCTGATATTGATATTACCTTTCTCATCCAAGCTCGACATCCATTGGAAAACCGAGAGGGCCTCGTTTGCATATCCGTGCTTGGCGAAGCCCGTGATTATGCTCGTCCAAGAAATAGTTGTCCTCTTATCCATCCTCCTGAAAACTCCAAATGCTGCATCTATTTCGCCACACGATGCGTACATGTGTATGAGCGCGTTATTCAACGAAACGAGCACAGCCCGTTTTTGGGAGATTAATGAATCGAACACGTGTGCATGGACCCATTTCCCGAGGCTCAAATCGCCTACCTCAGCGCATGCCGAGAGGACTGCCACGAGCGTGACCTGGTCGAACTCCACATTTTCCCGCCGCATTTGGTGGAAAAGACCGATTGCATCCTTGCACCTCCCATTTCGCGCGTACCCTGAAATCATAACAGTCCAAGACACCAAATTTCTCACGGGCATTTTACCAAACACTTCCCGGGCACAATCAATGTCTCCAAATCGGAAGCACCCGGAGAGGAATGAGTTCCACGTGGCCACATTTCTCACGGGCGTTTCATCAAACACCTTCCTCGCCTCCACAATCCCGCCATTCTTGGTGTAAAAATCAACCAGGCTCGTCGAAACGTGGACGTTGGAGCAAAACCCAATCTTCAGAACCTTCCCGTGAACCTGGCGGCCTTCGGCCGATAACCCCCCTTTTGTGCAGGAGCTAATCACGTAATTGTACGTGTACTCATCCGGCAGCACCGGAGAACGAGCCATGCCGGCAAATGACTCGACGGACTTACGAGGGTCGCCGGAAATCGAGTGGCCACGGATGATTTGGTTCCAGAGAGGGGTGCTCGGGCTGGACACATGGTCGAAGAGTTGTTGGGCGCGCGGGAAATCGTCGAAGGACGCGTACAGAGACAGAAGCTTGGTGAGGATGAAGGCTTTGTGGGAAAAGCCGTTGGTGGTGATCTGTGCGTGGATTTGGGAGAGTTGGTTTGGGGATTTGCAGAGGTTTTGCAGAAGGAAGAAGAGGTTCTGTTGGAGGGACCTTCTGGTAGAGTTCGCGGCGAAGGTTTGTTCGGCGAACATGCACGCGGTTTTTTTTTTTTTTTTTTTTTTGGTGAATTTGCGAGGGAATTTACAGAGTTGGGGATTTGATGTTCTAGTTCATGTAAGAGCCTTCGTTATGGGCTATTATGTTTTGGTTTCCACCAATATTTATGCACTATAAACAAGAATATTGAAAAATTGAAAAGCAAAAACAAGCAAAAGTCTGACATTTTACATTTAGCATAATTATTTAACTAAATGAGCTTGAAATCAAGCTCCAGCTCGGCTTGTTCATCTCTAATAATGAGATGAGTTCGAGTCTTAACGAGTCGAGTTCGAACTGATCTCGAACTTTAACGAGCTAAAATAAAAATATGTAAAAATACTATTTTCAACTTTTATCGAACCGAGCTTCGCTCTTTAACCAAACGAGCTTTAAATGAGCATGAGGTCGGCTCATTTATCAAATGAGTTGAGCCAAATCAAAGCTTAACGAGTCGAACTTGAACCGAAGCGAGTCAGAATAGTTTCGTTTAAAATCACTATCTGTGTTCAAGACTTAACATTAAATCGAATTGGTGATTAAAAAATTGGGCCAGAGTTGATCCTGAATTTTAGGACTCGGGCTAGAAAAGAAAAGAAAAAAAAAAAAAAA